AAGCTATCACTTAAGAGTTTAATTTTATAAAAAAAAAAAAAAGTAATAATAATAATAATTAATTAAAAACTTAAGGCAGCACGAACACATACTTTTTAAGAAAGTTTTATTTTATTATATTTTTACTTTTTTGTACAGTTGCAAACAGTAATCATGGAGTTGTTTTTTTATTTAACAAAAAATAAAAATAAAATAAATAAAATATCTATAAATCTATAAATTATATAATTTTATAATTACTTTTTTTTAAATCACTGATTTAAAAAAAAATCACAGATCCCCAACACAACACCCCCAATCATATAGCTCTAGTAAATGATGACAAAATGTCAATTTTGGGAAAATGAACCATTAAATGATTCTTTATTATCACTAAAAAACAACCCACACCCTGCAGGTCACATGACCTTAAGTCATATGTCACAAAACCCGCAACACACGCTGAAGACAAATGAGTTCTCAGTGAATTCACAATCACTCATTAATGACAAACTCAAATGAGCCACGTTTTCTTCTGGTGTCCTTGAAACTACTGCAGTTGCTTCAACAAATGGAGTCCCTCACACAATGATAGGAAACATTAAAATGCATTAATATCGTGCTGTGCATCTCCTGCAACAATAAGACTTGATAAGGAGCCAGAAATAAGAAAGGGCTGGTTAAATGTCAGTGGCCGAGGTTTAATTATAGGGGCTGTGTTCACATGAACATGAACAGAGAAGTGTTATTTAAATCAGTGACTGTAAACTAGATCTGTTTTATTTGTTTATTGTACAAAAAGTGAACTAAAATATAATTATATAATGCAACAATAAATAAAAGTCAATAGTCCACTAAATTCATAAATCAGCTTTCTAAACATGGGAATAGGAAACTAAAAATGTTGTTATAATCAATCACTGAAATGTATTTAAAATTAAATTAAATTAAACTAAATTAAACTAAATTAAACAATCAAATGTAAATGTAAAAAATATAAAATAAAAAGGAAAAAAAATTAAAAAGGGATATATATATATATATATATTCTAATAAGAACATTTTTCAAGAAGGGGACCATGAAGACCAAACTCAGTAAAGTAAGTGATAAAGTTTTCCATAGCAACTAAAGGAAAACATTTCACAAGTTTCAACAAATGTGAGCATATCACTAGTTTGTGCGTGTCTCAGAAGATAAGATGCATCCTTGTCTCAAGAATGCACTTCGTTTTTAAGTCAACAAGCAAACGTCCTGATCCAGAACCACGCTGATAAATTTGTTCAGATTAACTTAATCTGTAATGAGGGAAAGAAGCCTGCTTTACTGCGCTGACCTGAAACCTGACCCAGTAATGTGGGTGACATTAGCAAAGGCTGCAGGCTCGACCGAGGGACCCTTATTTAGTCTGTTCAGCCCTCTGACAGAAACAACATCAGCGGGATAGTGTTCATCATGTCTCGACCGATGAAGGAATGCCAAATACTGTGATCTGTGAGTGCGGCCTGACCTGAGAGCAGTCACAGGATAACATACATTCACTAAAGAAAAATTCTCAACACTTGTGACACTCCGTCTAAAACAAGGGGGGCAACTTCCTGTTTTGTTATTTTGCCTCTTTAAATTACCTGTCAACCATTGCTCTGATCCATATAAAGGATAAAAATTAAAATTAATTAATTAATTAAATTATATATAATTATATATACATCACTTGCTTGTAATGATATATAATATATTTGATTAAAACAATGCAAGTTCCTTAAAAGTGAAGTCATTCATCATCTCTTATTTAATTGAAATAGAAAATGCAGCCTATTTATAAGTCCATTAAGGGTTTTGTTGTTGTTGTTGTTATTATTATTATTACTAGCCTTATTAGCATTATTATTTGGTTAATTAAGCACATTTTCTCTCCAAAATCTAATGTGGCATATGTCTATTTAAGTTAGTTTTACACTAAAACTAACTTTTATCGCTTTACACTGTTACACTAAAAAGCCGAATCCCATTTAAATCAGCATAAATTAAAGGTATCACAACAAATAAAACCATGATGTATAAATACATTGCATAAATTTACATAATTTGTCAGCAATTTTGTTTACATTATTGTAATGAGTTTTATTTATTTGTTTAATTCACTTATTCATTTAATTCATTTCATTATTTAATTCATTGCATTGCACTAGAATTAAAATTTTGTTAAAAAGCTAATTAATTATTGTCCTTATGGTCCTAAAATGGTCTAATTATTCATAAAAAAAATCTGTAATACAGCTATGATGTATAAATAGTGCAATTTATAATATCATTAATATTATATCAGCATTTTTGTTTACATTATTGTAATGAGATTTTTACTAATTTATTCATTCATGGCATTACAATAGAATGGGAATTTTGGTAATAACTGCTTAATTATCATCTTAATATCATCATTACACAAGATTGTATTTCTTTTGGGATGAACCATAACTTAGGACATATTTTGTTCAGTTCACCCAATTCTTTCCACAAAATGTCATGTGCATTGTTGTTGAATTTCTATGTTAAAAACAAAATTCCTCGAACACAACAGCATCGGAAACTACCCATTTAAAAACAATTAACTTGTTATGTCACATATTCTTCTAAACCGCGCAGATTAGTTTCTAATCAAACCCACGACTAGTAATATCAACAGCATATGGGCCATATTGTCTTGCTTCCCAACACAATATAAACTCTCCAGCTACAGGAAAAACACATTGGACCCGGTTCAAGCTTTCCAGCAATTTGGGAAGACCAGCGCAGTGTGCATGGGGCAGGACAGGGTCTGCTTTTATTGCAAACGCTGATTGTTCTCGAACGTCAAAACAACGCACGCTGGGCCTACCATGGGCTGGCATTGTAATAACAAACAATCGAAATTCTTCGCTGCGGCACTGCACACAATCTGAATTGTTCGATGGTGAAAAAGCCGGTGGATCGTTGCACAGCCAAGCTGGGTGCACAGATCGGCCTCAGTGACATGAAACCGCAATAACAGGAACCACTAACCGACCTCTGCAGCAGTGCAGATAAGAGCCGTGCTGAATGAAGCCCAGAACGCACCGTTACTGTAATGATAACAACAGAATAGTGACTGGAATGCCAAAGATGCAGGTAATAAAACAAACATAGCCCGACTTCAAATGAAAGGTGGAGAACTGATGGAAAATGATACAAACAAGCCCATAACAGCCATCCCAGCACACATTTAACTGACTCTGGAATGCCATTAACTATAAGGATGTGTCAGATGAAAAGTGTTTCTTTTGACAAGCTGAGAAACCACACAAAAGCCCGGGCGAGTGCTGGTAGTTTCCAGTGTAATGGAAAACTTATTTGAGAAACACTTCACAGTTTACTTAGAGTCTGACATGTCTGTTCAACCATGCGAACACTCCTAATTCCTAAAAAACAACACAAGATGTGTCAGATAGCATGACCATCATCAATAGAGCCTGGCATGTTGATTAATAGTCTGGCTTGAGAAACACTTCACAGTTTACTCAGAGTCTGACATGTCTGTTCAACCATGCGAACACTCCTAATTCCTAAAAAACAACACAAGGTGTGTCAGATAGCATGACCATCATCAATAGAGCCTGGCATGTTGATTAATAGTCTGGCTCGTTAATTAAACTAATTGTGTTATGGAATTTAAGTGGTTTTTAAAACAGTGTGAAGTCGCTACTTGATTATGTCATCATGCAACACAAAGCACATCAGCTATATACTGTAGAATGCAACAGTCGCGATCCAGAAGTATAAACTCTATTAATTTTCTCCATAGGGAAATTAATTTTTAACTATATCTTATAAACCTTAAAAGATGGACCTTTTGTGAGCTCCAGTAGATCCTCTACAGTGAATGGGTGCCGTCAGAATGAAAGCTGATAAAAACATCACAATAATCCACACAACTCCAGTCTATCAAATACTGTATTATTAAGTAAACATCTGCATGTTTAAATCCATCATAAAGACGTTTTTAATTTCCAACCATTGGTTTTACACTAAAATACAAGCCCTCTATACATAATATTTCTTTAAGTAATCTTGTCTGAATCAGGACAGAAATAGGCTATGCACTGATCAAGCATCTTTTACAAGAGAAAACGGTCTAAAACTAAATATGTTGGTGGATTTTGATGTGAAAGGACAATAGGAGGTGGACTTTTTGCACTTAAAGAAGCATTATTATGGATTATGGAGTTGTATTTTGGCCAGAAGTGATGATTTAAATGTACAATGCCTTAATGATGGATTTGTTTTTTACAAATACACAACTTTTCACTTCACAAGACATTAAATGATTGACTAGGAGTTGTGTGGATTACTGTGATGCTTTCATCAGCTCTTTGGACTCTCATTCTGACGGCACCCATTCACTGCATTGGTGAGAAAATGATGTAATGCTACATTTCTCCAAATCTGTGATGACGAACAAACAAACTAATTTACATCTTGGATGGCCTGAGGGTGAGTAAATTTTTGGGTGAACTGTTCCTTTAATCAATGGTACTATATATGCTGTCCCTTTAAGCAGGTGTGCCAATATACATAACAATGAACGGTATTTTCCAAAATCATGGTAAATCCCATATTGTTTCTTGTTTTCCTAGAAGCACACATTGATTTGATATGCTAGTAAGCCAAAATGAATTTGGAAAATTGTAGCAAATATTTGGAAAGTCAAAATAATAGTTTTCAGTTATTATGATCTGAATGGGAAAAGAGAGCAAAGGGTCAAGTCTTTGGAACTACATCTTACATAAGTGTGGTGAACAGTGTTTTTTTCTCAGTTCCCTCATAAACTCATGGTGTAAACACAACCACATTATTGCCCAGACCTGCCTCTCCAAGTGCACAGCCTTGCCCTCATCACAACTATAGATTAATCACTACAAATACAGACACACAAGAAATGGTCCTGTCTTGAGGCGTTGGGCGTGTGCCAGCACAGAAGCCAGGTATTAGGGTCAATGGAGAGCCAGTGCCTGTAGGGGTGGGGCAGGGCTTGTTTGTGTGAGTTTGTACAATTCTGGTCCACCTCTGTATCTTACGGTCTCTGTCCGCCCTTCTTTTCACACGATAGCAAACACATTCAAAAAAGAACAACATTAAGGAGTGGTTGAACTGACAGTTTTGCTGGAATAAGACTTTTTAGACAGGGTGGACGGCTTAGTAAAATGCACAAAACAACCATCCATAAATTAAATTTCATAAATCGATCAATCAATCTATCTATAATATAAACAATACAAATGTAACAATGTTTAAATATCTATTTATCTATCATATAAAAATAATTTTTGTATCAAATATTTCAATATACATATTATAAACAATTCAAATATCTATCTATCTATCTATCTATCTATCATGGAAGCCAGTTTCCACCACTGAATAAAAAATAAAAAAGGTTATTGTGACTTTTTATCTCGCAATTCTGACTTTTTTTCTCAGAATTGTGAGCTATAAACTCACAATTCTGACTTTTTTCTAAGAATTGTGAGATATAAACTCACAATTGCGAGTTATAAAGTCAGAATTGCGAGAAATAAAGTCAGAATTGTCTGATATAAACTCGCAATTGCTTGAAAAAAAGCCAGAATTGCAAGTTATAAAGTCCAGTTCTGAGGAGAAAAAAAGACTGATATGTTCTCAGAATTGCGAGTTTATATCTCACAATTCTGACTTAACTCGCAATTGCGAGTTTATATCACACAATTCTGACTTCATTTCTCACAATTGCGAATTTGTATCTCACAATTCTGAGAAAATATTGTATAAACAAATCTTACAATGTTTAAATATCTATCTATAAATTATAAAAATTTGTACAACTTGATTAAATATCTGTCTATTTGTCGATCTGTTGTATAAACAATATATCTGTCTGTCTATCTGTCTGTCTGTCTGTCTGTCTGTCGTCAACACATGAATACTGTGGTACATGTTAAGTTTAACACCTGTAGCACCAAAGCCATGAAACTATTCCAAATTTGCTGGAGCACAGCATGACAAATAACAGGAAATCACCTTTCAAATTAGTGGCCTTGCAGAATTTATGCCTAAATGCGGGAAAACCAAAGGGTTGGACCAAACTAACACCGTGTTCTCCTCCAACCGACAGAATAACAATGCCCCTGCCTGACGCTCATGTTTGCCTCTCTGTTCTTGGCTGTTTGTGTGATCCACATTTGCCCAGAAAAGCAACTCACTCCATCTTTGAGAATTGTGACAGCTCTGCTGACTTCATCTGGGGTGTAGTTTTGGGATGTTATGTTGCTGAGGACAGTTTTTCCTGTAATAGGAGAAAGAACAGAATGTGATTGTGACGTTCTGTGCATGTTAAGTATATTTCCAAACAGGCCGATACAAGTTCAAATGGATCAGCTGTCTACTCGACTGATCCCAGACAAACCACAGCTCATTTACAGTCTACTCATGACAGCTAGAAATTGCTGCATGTCTGACATCTGCATGCATACTGTGACCCAAAGTGCATTCTTGTGATTTCTGACATTTCTGTTTTAATTGTTTTGAAAATTGAGGAGATCATCATTACATAAGGCATGGATTTGAGCCATTAAAACAAACAGGTCAAGCAAAAAATTAGAAAAAACCCTAACCTAACCTTTAAGTACACCAAATTAAAGACATTTATTTAAGTGGTGCTTTAAAGGGATGCATTTAAAGATGCCATTTCTCTAAAATTGTTTTATTGAAGGAATAGTTCAAAAAATGAATGAAAAATGAAGATTTGCTGGATATGTATTCATCCTCTGGTCATCCAAGATGTAGATGAGTTTGTTTCTTCATGGGAACGGATTTGGAGAAATTTAGCTTTACTAAATTCTAAGCTATCACTAAATTCTAAGCTATCACTTGCTCACTTGCTCTTTATTCTAATTCTAAGCTATCACTTGCTCACTTGCTCACCTCTGCAGTGAATGGGTGCCGTCAGAATTTCAATAGCTGATAAAAACAACACATTAATTCACAACATGAGTCCGTAAATAAAAGATTTCAAAAGAAATACTGTACTTCAATTTTTAAGATGCCATCAGCGTCTGTGTGTGATGCACAGGCCCCTAAATTTCTTTAATTATACAAAGCTTCTTTAAAACTGACTATTCATTCAGACAACTCACCAACTAGTATTGTAAAAGATGAAATTGCGCTGTTTGTAAATATTTAATGTAGATAATGTCAGAGCAAAATAGGAGGTCAGAGAGATCTTGCAAAATGTTTCTCCAAGTCTTCGATTCTATGAAAAGACATGTAGAGGCAATGGCGTCTATAAAAACAAGCCCGGTATGCTGAACACGTGCCAGGCAGAAGACCGACAGAACAGAGCAGAGTACCAAAAACCAGATCCGTGTCAATCTAGATGACCTATGACCACACATCCATGTGAATAACGTGCCCTCCGTTTCCGTGTCACGATGACACAAACAGCACTGACTGGAAGTGGGGAAAGTGGGTGGCAGTGTGGTTTTGAAAGCGAGCCCAGATGCCGAGAGAAACATCTTCAGACTTTACACTCTCCTGTGAAACCGTAGACAAGCATGTCACTTTGCGTTTTTGGCAGAAACTGAGGTAAAGGTTACATTTTGCGTCTTAGACCCCGAGGGTGTATAAATATTTGCTGAGCCCATGTCTGGTTGCATAGGGGATTAGGAAAGCCAATCTTTGCATGCTTCATTCCTGGACTCACGCCATTGAGACGGGATGCGTCAAGGACGGCGTGCTGCAAAGTTCACAGTTATTGCACAGAAAGCCGCATGCATGACTCTCGCCTGTATGCGGGACAGCTCTTACGAAGTGTGAAGTCACGAACACCCACATGGGATTACCGTGCGAGAGCTGCCCATCATGTCACATTGGACAGGGCAAATGAATCAGACAGGGTGCACATGTGCTCATCAAAAATACCTGCATGCCATGCAGCTCACATTCACAAATCTGCTCACACGGTTCACGAGGGATGGAGAAAAGTGAAATGCAAAAGTGCAAAAGTGCAAAAACGCAGAAGAAAGAAACAAGTTTGGATGTTGGCATGTTTACATTTTAGACCTTTTTTTCTTTTTATAATATAATATAATATAATATCACCATTTAAAAGTTGTCAAGAATTTTTTTGGGGGTCAAGGATGCATAAAATTGATTAAAATATTATTACAAATACATGATTAGATTTTACATTATTGCAAAAAACATTTCTTTTGAACTTCCTATTCAACAAAGAAACTTGCAATATATATTAAGCAGGACAACAGTTTTCAACATTGATAATAAGAAATGTTTCTTGAGCAGCAAATCAGCATATATTCCAATATTTCTGAAGGATCATGTGACACTGAAGACTGGAGTAATGATGGTGAAAATTCAGCTTTAAATCACAGCTATAAATTACATTTTAAAATATATATGAATAGAAAACTGTTATTTTGTATGGTAGTAATATTTCAAAATATTACTGCTACTGTATTTTTGGCAAATAAATGCAGCCTTCGTGAAGGGAAAAAAAAACTATACATAACCACCATACTTTTTCTTTACCCCATCATCACAGACTATATGTAAACTAACTGAATAACATAATTGCACATTGCCTTGTAAAGACAAATGTAATTAATTAACTAAATTAACTATAAAGAATGAAATGAATCTGCCTTAACTCTTATTTTCATTCTCCTGATTGCTTACAATCTCCCTCTCACTGGTAAATAACGAAATAACGAACTAACTAAACATGAAAACAAATCTGAAGTTACAAACGGTTTTTGTGCATCAGTGTTGGGGGCTGTTTGTGCCTTTTTTAAACATGACACATACCAAACAATTGCATATTTCACCTCAACACAACAAAGTTTATAACAGGTGAGAGATTCCAAACCTAAACGGCTACTGGTCTCACTGTCTTCAAGTGTTTCGCTTCAATATGAAATTGAGCCAACAATATGACTGTTCTATAAACAAATTAGATTAAGTTATGTGATGAAGTGGACATGGGAAATCTTGTCAAGCATGAAAAACAACACATATTTTAAATAAGAGCAAAGTAAACCTTACCAGCTTTTCAACATGGCTCCTCTAGAGGCCAATGATGTCACTTCCTGTTTCCTAAAAGTGTATAATATAATATAAATAGAAGTGTATAATTCTTTTTTAAATTATATATTAAGCTTGCAATACACTTTTTTGTTTAGTGCACCTAAAATAAGGACATAAATGTTATTACTGTTTCAGAACAACTGCTTTATAGACAAATGTGACCCTGGACCACAAAACCAGTCTTAAGTCGCTAGGGTATATTTTTAGCAATAGATAAAAAAAACATTGTATGGGTCAAAATTATTGATTTTTCTTTTATTTTCTTTTATTTATTTATTTATTTATTTTTTAAGGCATTTTTCTTTTATGCCAAAAATCATTAGGATATTAAGTAAAGATCATGTTCCATGAAGATATTTTGTAAATTTCTTACTGTAAATATATCAAAACTTAATTTTTGATTAGTAATATGCATTGCTAAGAACTTCATTTGGACAACTTTAAATGCGATTTTCTCAATATTTTGATTTTGATGCACCCTCAGATTCCAGATTTTCAAGTAGTTGTATCTCGGCCAAATATATATCCTATCCTAACAAACCATACATCAATGGAAAGCTTATTTATTACGCTTTCAGATAGATGATGTATAAATCTCAATTTTCGAAAAATTTACCCTTATGACTGGTGTTGTGGTCCAGGGTCACAAATGAAAACATGGACTATTATAGCAGATTGTGGCAAACAGAAAGGAGATTCTTGAGATGTCAAGGCATAAACCAAGTGAGAATAAATAAACAAACAGGTGGAATGCTGAGGTCAGATTTCTACCAGCATGCTTACTGCATGGCTGTAGAAACACGTCCCTCATGGCTTACACAGTGTTAGCTAAAGAGAAGAGAGGATGTTTTCCAACCCATTATCATCCGCTGAAACCAAGCTCCACCATGGATGACAGGGGACTTTTTCATCTCTTATTTTCATGAGGGCTTGAAACATTTCACCTCTGCTTACTAAACTTATGAGCATCTCTCAGACCTTGACAAGAGTTGCGTCCATAACTGTGTGCAAGGTTTGTTGGCATCCGTTTACAGTTCACCATCAGTATTAATGTTCATTAGACCAGCTAAAACCAACAAATCACCTCAGATTGGTTACAGCTGGTTTTTAGCAAGCTATTTGCCTCGACACCTGGCACTGTAATGGTAACTTTTGCACCAACAACTGGCCCTCATATTTTCCTTAGTAGTTGTTGAATTCCCTTGCAGGCATCTGTCAAGGTAAATAACCCCTATTGTGATTAAAAATATATTTTTAAAACAGAATGCACATTATATCGTCACAAAGTTTTAGTGTTAATATATTTTGTCTAGAAATATTCAACTTCTATGACTGGGCATGTATAAAATTGCATAAACGTTTATAACGTTTTATAATATACAGGTGTGTCTCAATAAATTAGAATGTCGTGGAAAAGTTTCATTTATTTCAGTAATTCAACTCAAATTGTGAAACTCGTGTATTAAATAAATTCAATGCACACAGACTGAAGTAGTTTAAGTCTTTGGTTCTTTTAATTGTGATCATTTTGGCTCACATTTAACAAAAAAAAACATCAATTCACTATCTCAACAAATTAGAATACTTCATAAGACCAATAAAAAAACATTTTTAGTGAATTGTTGGCCTTCTGGAAAGTATGTTCATTTACTGTACTGTACATGTACTCAATACTTGGTAGGGGCTCCTTTTGCTTTAATTACTGCCTCAATTCGGCGTGGCATGGAGGTGATCAGTTTGTGGCACTGCTGAGGTGGTATGGAAGCCCAGGTTTCTTTGACAGTGGCCTTCAGCTCATCTGCATTTTTTGGTCTCTTGT